GAATCTTGTCTTCCATGCTCAGGGTACCTCTATAAAGGATAGCGCTATACGTAATTAATGTGCCGAAAGTGATGGTAATAGATGGTACGTCCTTTTGTACTATGTTGGGGTATGGCTGTATCTATGTATTTATATATCTATGCGAAAATGTGATAGGCAGCGATATCTGTGGTAAAAAAGAAGTACTGCATGATGCAGGTGTTTAATTAACAACCAACTAGATGTCAGAATAAGCGTTATTTCAAACAAACTTCCCGCCAAGGTGGATCCACCTTGCTTCCCGCCAAATGATAGAAACAATCTGACAAACCTAGTTAATGTCGCTGAATTATTGTAAACCCCCACCCCCACGTATATCAACGCACAAAATAACTTCTACGATTCCAAAGAGTTAATTAAGGACGCCTCTTTTTCAGCAGATTTGGTTTTAGACCATCATGAGAATATTGCAAAAAAGAACTAAAAGCGTTTCTATAAAAAAATATAAGCTACCTACTGCAATTTGCAAATGCAATGTAAACTTTTTGGAGTAATTCCTTCCATGATTGCTTTGTCTAGAACTGAAGAATGATTACGCAGCACCAATTACAATTTCGCTTACTATACAGAAATGATTACGTATTTGTTGTTGCATATTAGGCACAAATCGATTACTTTTCATCTGCTCAAAAATGCGAGCCATTTTTCTTTTGTACGTATTTTGTGCAATCGCTAAAGCTGAACATATTACGTTCGGTTACGCGTCGTCCATTGCGGTCTACAAGAAAAGCGCATATCTTGCTCTTCCTCGCAGTTCTTGCTACAATGATCCGTTGGGTCCTACCCTTCTGGAAGTGCAATGGAATGCCGACAATTCCCAGCTGAATTCGGAGCGCAAATCCTTCTTCGGTCAGACTTGGGGGAAGTGCAGTCAATTGCAAAGTGCAATCTCGCTGGACGTCAACAATCGGAAAAGTCGGCTTTGGGTGTTGGACCAGGGGAACGACCATTGCCCGCCAAAGGTCGTCGTTTACGGTTTGCCCTCAAATATGGAGTTGGCGAAATGGACACTTGGCAATTTTGGACCGGACGAGCTAAGTATGCTGATTCTTGACGTTTCAGACGAGTATGGGACACTCTGTTACGTTGGCAACAATCGGTTTGATAAATTAACAGTTGTTTCTTATGATCACCGCAAGTGGTGGGAGG